ACACACACACACACACACACACACACACATACACACACACACACACACGCACACACACTAAACTACAGTGTGTGCTGCCCAATTTTAAAAAATCCTTTTCCAGATCGGTGTTGCAGAAAGGATTTCCATATCCACATACACGTATTTATTTTAGAGATGGCCCTCTATGTGAAGAACTACGTTTCTAAAAAGATACATGTATGTCGTAACCAATGTTATGATAAAAAGAGTGCTTAAAAGACTTAAGTTGAAAGATAAATGTATTTGCCAAGTTATGTGCCATCATTATTAGCTACGTGTACAATAGGATTACTCAACATCACTGTTTCTTATGAAAATTTAATGAGGCCCTTATCATGCCACCTCCCACAGAAATAGTTTACGATGTCGTGGTTAAAATCTTCATCTTCGCCGTCGCACTGCACGCAGGAGACATAAGAGATTTTCGTACTCTATGTATATTTTAAGTAATAGTATGTGTATTTATTTATCTATTCTCTGTGTGCATATATGTATGTGTTGAGTATCTCCGTTTTTCTGCTGAGATATTGTATGCCACCCAGCTGGGGTTGGCCCTGGCAGACAGGATCGAAGCAGCCTGCCTCCTGAATGATTTAAGAATAATTGCTTCCACGGGAGCGTAAAACATTTACAATATCATTTATTTTTTTACAAAATAAATAAAACCCACCTGCCACGGTTCTTGCAGTTCTACGAGGCGGTGCAGAATACGTCCGACTACGTAAACCTTTGCTTGGTCGATCGCCTGCAATAGTTGGGGCGCTTTTCGGCTTTACAGTACTAGGTCTAGTAGTAGATGGAGGAGGTAGGAACTGGTCGTAGAAAGTGGTGCTCCGGACAGGGTCTCGTCGGCGGGCGTACAGCCGGCGCTCCATCTTGTAGACGTTCTCTCCAATCACGGCGTTATGGACGTGGGCATTTTTCAACAGATGAGTGAAGATAAGTCGGTCGTTGTGAGCAGTGTTCGTCTGCGAGTAGTGTAAGTTCAGCTTGCTGAGGCCCCGTTGATTTCCCTCCATGTACTGACTGGCGCGCGTGAACGTGCGGTTTTTAGAGTGGAGGTAAACGCTCGACTTCTCAAGCTTAGCGTCGTAGCACGAAGGGCTGGAACGAGAAGTAAGTTTTGTACAATGTGCATCCGTTATCGGTGAAAGCAAGGTCGACAAACATGATGTCAGAAAGACAAAAGTGAGTATTATTTAAGAAAAGACGTTGAAAAAAAATAATAACCCAGCTCTCACGAAAGAGAACGTGAGATAGATCTACAACAATCTATGCAAAATTAGAGGCAAACGACCCC